ATATTCAACACTCTTCTCCAGCACCACAACTCAAAGGCATCAATTCTCTTTCTATCATCCCTATTCACTGTCCAACTCTCCAATGCATAGTACATAATTGCAAAGACTATAGCCTGGATCAGGCGCAACTTAGTCTCCAGCTTGATGTCACTGCATTTCAGTACTCTTGAGAGGTCCCTCACAGCTGACTTTCCCTATGCAATTTGTCTCCTGATTTCCTAGCCGCTGTTGCCAAGAGTGCTGACCATGGAACCAAGTAAACGGAAACTGTTTACTATCTCAATCTCTTCACCATCCATATTGATGCTGCCAATTGGCCCAATGGTGAGAATCTTTCTTTTGGGAGATTGAGTTATGTATTGGTTTTGACTCAATGGCAATGTGTAGGTATTTTGTTTATTTGATTTGCTTTTTTCAGCATTAAAGAATGTTGGGCTGCGAACAGCAAGGATAACTACCCATGTGAACACACCAGTTGCTCTATGGACAAAAGATGAGGCACTCTTCTCTGCCTAAGATTTACAGCTTTACAGAACTGATCAAAGGCCACTGTGGCATAAGCTAAAATCAAGAAAGAGCTCTGTGGCACAGTGGTCCAAAGCTCAGCTATTAACAGAAAAGTCAGCAGGTCATTGCCTGAGAAAATATAAAGCCTTAAAAGCCTGCGGGTCACTATAATGGAGTCAAGGGCAACAAGCTTGGTTTGATTTTTAGTAGATTAATATTGCCTGTCAATATAAACTCAAAAACTCACTGCTGTTGAGTGGGCCCAACCAACCATGACTCTCCAGCAGTTTTTCAGAAGGTGTGAATCATGCAAAAGGATGTCACCCATTTTTTTTCCTGGATAACTGCTGGTGGATGCAACCTGACAGAAGAGGCATCTCCTTACGGTTAGCACAACTTCCTAAGGATGAGGCCACCAGAGCTCCCCAACACTCTTTAATAAATAAATATATTGCCATCAAGTAAGAATGAACTCTTGGCTGAAATTTCAGTGGGATGTAGATAACAGAAAGGGCAACTGAGGTTGAGCTTTCAAGTACGGAAATACAAAGGAAGAGCAACAGTTGTAAGCAGACACTAGTGATTGGGACATGGAATGTGAGAACCATGAATGTAGGAAAATTAGGCACTGGTAAGGAAGAAATGGAACGCATAAATATTGATATACTAGGCATTGGGGAGATGAGATGGACTGGCATGGGGCATTTAGAGTTGGATGATCATATGATCTACTATGCCGGAGATGAAAAGGTGACGAAAAATGAGGTTGCTTTCATAGTTTAAAAAGTAATATCTAGAGATGAAAAGGTGAGAAAAAATGGAGTTGCTTTCATAGCTAAGAAAGTCACTGCTAGATCGATCTTAAAGTACAATATTGTAACAGGATAATATCCATACACATACAAGGAAGTCCAGTGAATACCACTATCATTCAGATATATGTACCAACAACCACAGCCAAGGAAGAGGATACAGAAGATTTTTACCAACTTTTACAATCGGAGATCGATCGAACATGCAATCAAGATACATTGATAATAATGAGTGACTGGAATGCAAAAGTTGGGGACAGAAAAGAAGATTCAGTAGTTGGAAAACATGGACTCAGTGACAGAAATGGAGATGGAGAGAGAATGATTGAATTTTACACAATCAATGACTTATTCATAGCAAATACATTTTTAAAGAGACATAAACGCAGGTTATACACATGGATTCCACCTGATGGTATGCATAGGAATCAAATTGATTACATCTGTGGAAAGAACTGCCGGAAAAGCTCAATATCAACTGTGAAAACTAGGCCTGGAGCCGACTGTCTAACAAACCAACTACTCAAATGCAGGTTCAAGCTGAAGTTGAGGAAAATGAAACCAAATCCACGGGAACCTAAAAATGACTTTGAGTCTATCCTACCTGAATTTCAGAACCATCTCAGGAACAGGTTTGAGGCCTTGAACACTACTGAGCAAGGACCAGACGAGTTGTGGGAGGATATCAAGGGTATCATCCAGGAAGAGTGCAAACGGTCATTGCAAAGACAGAAGAGGAAGAGAAGACCAAAATGGATGTCAGAAGAG